ATTACTATTGTATACAAACTAGTATAAATTAATAGCCCAGCCTTTATTACTATTATATAAAAACTAGTGTAAATTAATAGCCCAGTGGCTCAACAGCCTTTATTACTATTGTATAAAAACTAGTGTAAATTAATAGCCCAGTGGCTTAACAGCCTTTATTACTATTATATACAAACCAGTGTAAATTAATAGCCCAACAGCCTTTATTACTATTGTATACAAACTAGTATAAATTAATAGCCCAGTGGCACAACAGCCTTTATTACTATTATATAAAAACTAGTGTAAATTAATGGCCCAACAGCCTTTATTACTATTGTATACAAACTAGTGTTACTGTTGTTCATGTTGAATTTTGTGTAAAGCTACTCAAGGGTTATTTGCACCAACTATCCCTAATTTTGAAGTGGGACTAGTTGGGGAAAGGCACTCACCACTAACTCTTGGTTACTCTCTCTCTCCTTAGACAGAAACTTGGGATTTCATCATCACTTTTAAATTTTATAACACACCTACAGCCTCAAAATGTAGAGCCCAACTTTATTTTATTTTTTACAGTGCAAGTGTCTCAATCCAGCACACTAACCAATGGGTGGTGTTCAGCCACATTCATACTAGTACTACAATATATACTACTCACTACACTACTAAACTTACTTTGTTCTGTAACTTAGTGTAACAAGCTTAATTGACCACTACAGTCTGAAGAAAGATAATGTTGTAAAATATATTTCAATATAGATGTTGGTTTGCTAGGGAAAGTGTGTCCTTAGGTTCTGACGATGATGTAATTAACAAGAAATTTCGTGCAATTAGTAGAACACGTGAATATAGATACCAGAATCAGTGAGTCCATGAATAATTACTAATTAATTAATGAGTTTGTCAGTTCTGTGTCTTGTAAGTTGTAGAATTAGTGTGTCATTTCATCTATTTGCCCACGATTTAATTAACAGAGTTAATAAGCGTGTTTGTTGTCGATCGCTGAGCCGAGAGATTCCACAAGTAAGTTTATAAGTTAAGTATGTTAATGTTAGGCCTGCAAGTCAATGTAGGCTTTAGCAAACGTTATTGAAGAAATAAATCAATTTATCGTTACATGGACTGTACTTGGCATTATATTTATGAAATAGTCCAAAAGAACTCGTCCAACACTAAATAACCCAGTATACATATGTTTTAGGCAGATTTTAAACCAGCGACACAACTTACCATTTCGAAGAGACAAATTTAATAGAAAGTGAGAGTTCAGAAAACCAAATCTTATGATACCGGTTTGCGCCATCTTGAATATTACTCCTAAAGAGTTTAAAAGAGCCCTCTACATTTTAGAATAAACGAAGTCTATAACAAAGATCAAGAAGGTTGACAAAACATTTTATTTACAATGTTCGAACGTTTCAGAATACACTTATTCCATCTTCAGCGAAATCTGAAAATAGTGCTACAAAGATATGTATTAACTAATGCTATAGAATCATTAGTCACTAGTTTACTTAGATATTGAGAAAAGTGGTAATCGGAGTGAAAAGAAGAAGAAGAAATACATTATCGAAAATATTGCGATACAATTGAATTTTAACTGTGTAAATTCAGAATAATTTTAGGTCTAATGAGGTTTGTAAGTCATTAAGTGTAGGGCGGTCTTTAGCTATCAGTAAACTTTCTTTAATATAGGGTTCGAGGTCTGATGATTCTGTAGTAATGTTTGTATTGAATTTCGCGCAAAGCAACACGAAGGCTATCTGTGCTAGCCGTCCTTAATTTAGCAGTAAAAAAAGATAGGGAAGGCAGCTAGTCATCACTACTCACCGTCAACTGTTGGGCTACTCTTTTACCATCACATTATAACGCCACCCACGGCTGAAAGGGCGAGCATGCCTGTAGTAATGACAGAGAAATCGTTATATGGAACATTGTGACCTGTGGTTTCAAGATGTCAACGAATGGGTGAATGGCTGGGTTTAATTGATAGACGGCTGGTTCTGTTTGATACTCCTAAATGTTTACAGACTCTAGTTTTCAAGTTATATTTTGTTTTGCCAATGTATGTGATCTTACAGTTTTACTACACGTACACTTATGCATTGGACATGAACACAGAAGTTTGGATATTGAGATTTTATATTGAAATAAGTTTTTAATGCGGAGGCTTTAACTGTATATTAGTCTGAACTAAATTTGAGAGTAGAATATTTTTATTAAAGAGAATAGTTGTTTTGAATTTATAAAGATTGTGAGCCCATAAAAGGAAAACAGATAATGTGGGGAAATTTGGAAACGGTGCGCACAGTAACATGTGGCTAGAATTTGTTGTTTAGAGAATTGCTAGTAATATTAGGTAGGATAGCCAGTATTTAACAAGTATTTGTGCAGTACTGTAATTTCTCAGTGTAAAATATAGTAATTCGAACAAAGATTAAAAATTCTGTTTAACAGTGGTCTCACTACATTTGGTTTGAAGAAATTGGGAATAAAATTCTTAAAATTAGTATAAAGACCTGTAAAAGCACTTGTGCGATAAACAGAGGTATTAGGTTGTCAAGAAATTAATGTCGCTTTTTTATTTTTTAGATGAAAACAAACAACTTGTATATCTAAAAAAAAGGGACAACTTGTATATCAAAACATTTATTAAATGAAACAGTTTCCATTCTTATCGATGATGCTTTTCCATCTTACAATCAAGTTGTTAATGCCCTGATTAAAGAAATATGTCGATGTTCTCTTTAACACCTTCCACATTTGCATACGTTACACCATTAAGATGGTGTTGCAGCGAACGAACAAGATGGTAATCTGATGGTGCCATTTCTCGAGAATATGGTGGGTGGGGGGAGAACTTCCCAACCCAACTCCATAATCTTGTGTTGCGTCAAACGTGTCACATGTGGACATGTATTGTCGTGGGGAAGAAGAACACCTTTCCGACTGAAGGGCATTTCTGATGAAGGGTTTGGTTTAAACGTTCCAGTTGCTGACTATAGATCTCTGCATTGACAGTTCACTGTGGATTGAGGACTTCGAAATGAATTACTCCTTTGATGTCCCACGAAATGCAAAGTATCACTTTGTGCGGATGGAGTCCAGGTTTTGGGATCGGAAGGGTTTTTTGTCTAGCCATTGTTTCTGGCGTTTAATATTGGCATAGAGAATCCATTTTTCTTCACCGGTAACAATTCTGTCCAAAAACGTTCAAGCGCATTACGCACCAGAAGAGACGAAGCAACGTTCACACGTTGAAAACGATGATCATCGGAGAGTTTGTGAGGCACCCAAACACTTTCTTTATGGGGTTTTCCCATATTCCTTAGATGTTTACGTATTGTTTCATGAGAGACATGCAATCTAAGGGCCATTTCACCAGTGTGTTGCCTTGGGTTAAACTCAACAACCGTCGTCAGAGCATTATTATCAATTCAGGCATGTCAGCCCCTGCCATCACAGTTTTTAAAGCTAAAGTCACATGAACGAAATTTGCTGAACCATCGTTGAACGTTCAAAACATTTCCATAAACTTCTTTGATATTCTTTGTGGCTACAGATGCATTGTTTCTCTTGTATTCAAACAGCATTACATGCCGAATGTGTGTCTCGTCGTTAGGCTACACTAACGTTAAGTTAAGGCGGTTCATTTAACTATTATATGTGATGTACGTTTTGGCTGGGGGTGGGTGGGTAATGAAAGTGTTCTAAAACGCGATATTACTTTTTTGACGACCTAATATAAAAATGTGTTTACTTTCTTTGGTAATCCTTGCATCTAGGAATGGTAAAGATTCGTTTTCTTTGAGTTTGGATGTAAACTTGATATTCGTATATTGGGAATTTAAAAAGAAATTTAGAAAAGTGATTTGATTGTTAAAACAGCAGAAAAGTATCACGAATATAAATATCATCAGAAGCAAAGGTGAAATAATCGGTAAATTTAGAAAAGTGATTTGATTGTTAAAACAGCAGAAAAGTATCATGAATATAAATATCATCAGAAGCAAAGGTGAAATAATCGGTAAATTCCTTCAAAGTGATTTGATTGTTAAAACAGCAGAAAAGTATCATGAATATAAATATCATCAGAAGCAAAGGTGAAATAATCGGTAAATTCGTTCAAAGTGAGGGGTTTAAAAATAGGGCTGATAAGTTTTTAGAGGATGTAAATGCAGGGCTGAGAGAGAATAGGGCGGAGAGGGTATTAGTTTTGCGCACTTTGGGTGGGCCATAAAGAATACCAAGTTTTGTGCCACATGGGGCAATTTGGTGAAAAGTAGTTTCATGGATAATGTTTTGATTTTTAAGAGTCTTGAGAAAACATAGGATCTCATCTACTCTCTTAAAATTTAAGGATAGTAGGCCTGTGTCTAGTTTTTGAATTCACAAGGGTCACTGAGCTTGTGGTTTATTTTATCAATATAATCAGCTTTTTTCATAATCACAATACCATTGCTTTTGTTTAGTTTTTAAACAGAGTTTTAAAAGCTTGTAGTTCAGCATCGTTTAATGGAGAGGTAGGATGATAGGAGGTATTTCGGTAGAAGGAGAAAAGAACAATGTTTTAGTTTCTTTTTTTTACGAGGTCGTGCGCTTTATTGTTCTTTGAGGGAGATAAAGGAAGTAGGGGTTTTATAAGCCTTTTTAAAGTTATAAATATAAGTAGCATAGTTGGGTTTGAAAGCTGTAATGCTAAATTAAGACCTTTTATTCGTGCTTGTTTGCAAACATCATCAAGTTGAAGATCACTCAGATTAAATATTACATTATCAGGAATAAAGTCGCAGTTTTTGAAGTTTTCTGTTTTGGACTTGTTCTTGTCTGGTTATTCTTATGAATTAAGCACGTCAAATGGACAAAATCAATGTATGAAACGTACTGTTACGTCTCTGTTCGTTTGTTAATTTCCCGTAGAAATTCTTCCCGAGAATCTTCAGCGATACAAGTCCTTTCTTAAGTAAACCTAGTTTATTCTTTCTCAATACAACTTTGCAATACACTTAATTTCCACAGTTACTTTAACTTAAACACACGCTATAATTCACAAAGAACGATTCACGCATTTACTTACTACCGCGCTTGACTCAATTGTGCGTCTCTATCTCTGCCTGTCTGCAATTCTATCTCGATTTATT